ATTCCGTTTTTTTCTTTCATTTCAATTCTTTCATTCCGGAAACTTATGGCGCACTATAAGTTTCCGGAATGAAAGAATTGAAATGAAAGAAAAAAACGGAATGAAAGAAAGAAATGAATTTATTGTTTCTCAAAATATTCTCCGTTTCACGCATAAACTTTGAAATTTGTTTTAAAGAGTATATACGTAGCTTTTCATTTCTTTTATAGACCTACGTTATAACAACAAATGTGTGAGATGACGAACAAATATTCGTTTAACCGTTTCATCCAACTGATTACAAAGAAAACTGGAAAAGCAAATTTGAAAAGAACGACAGTATATAAATAAATAATTATCTATCTTTGTTTTTATAGGCGTAAACGTAGCTAAGTGATAGTAATTGGTACTGCTGATTCTGGTTACAATTCACTACAATGGAATAGCGTCTTTGAATATTTCGGTGTTATAAACATAAATATAAAATTTCAACCTGAAAAATGATTGTGTTATATTCATAACAGACAAAAACCTTTCAATTTCTTTCTCCTCCCCGGCATAGGCGACGACGGTTTTCACTGACTTAAGAACCTCCTCGGCTTGTTTGCCTGCTACGCTATATGCATCCATTTCTTTCACCGAAGAACGCGTTTGGTACTGAAATAGTCATAAACAAAACTTGCATGATGTATAATCTATTCATTTAGGCTTGAATACATAACGGACCATGAGTAGTGAGACTTTTGGAAGTTATAAGTTGTAGCCAACATCGGTTCACACTCTTCATGGTTTGCAGTTGCAGCTGAATCGAACTTACATTACTCAAGACAACAGCAGCAATAAGTGAGAAGGGTACCACGGCTCCGCAGGCTAGTGCGAGCTCCCAGCCCAAAGGAAACGCCGTGCCGATACACATAAGGGCCGTGCCCACCAGGTTGGCCACTATGGACAGCTTTTCGCCCATACCATCTTTCAATTTCATCATATTCCTGCCAAATAATGTACAGTACACTAACCAGCAAGTGTTACCAATTCTTTTGACACAATTAGACAAAGCTTCAGGATTATTCTATATATTTACACGAAATTAATATTAAATTAGAATATAACACAACTTTAACGAAATGACTTATTGAAATTGCAGGAATGCTCAAATATTTTGTGAAATTAAAATTTTGCTTATACATAGGGCGCACTATAAGTTTCCGGAACTGGCCACTTACATAAACAATATTTAAAAAGTAACTACAACATTTGAAAATGGAACTCTTTGGCTGTAGAATACAGTTTGTTTCATCTGATTGTCACTTGTTTTTACATTGTGGCGTCATTTTAGAAATTAGTTGTGTACATCACCACGGATTTAACTCGTAAAAATTTTCGTAGTATGATTTTCTACGACTTGAAGTGTAATTTAACAGCTCAGTGGAGCTTCGCTCGGCTTCAAACGGTTTTTGGCGATGAAGCACCATGCAAGATGACTATTTGTAGCTGGTTTGCAGAATGCAAACGCGGTCGTGTGAATATCAGTGACGAATTTCGTGATGGTCGCCCGTCCACTGCTGTGAACAAAAAAAACATCGATGCTGTGCGCCGTATGATCAAAACAGACAGGCATATGACATACCATGAGGGTCGGGCATCTTTAGGCATAGGCATGAGCTAAATACAATCGATACTACACAAACATTTGGGTGTGAGAAAGCTGTGCTCTCGGTGGATCCCACACAATTTGACTGAGGCTCAAAAAACGGATCGCGTCTCTTGGTGCAATGCCATGCGTACCAGATTCAACGAAGGGGCGTCAAATTTGGTGTGGGACATAGTAACAGGTGACGAAACATGGATTTATAGTTGCGATCCCAAAACAAAGCAACAATCGAGTGATGGGTCTTTCGAGATGAGCTGAAACCAACCAAAGTGGCGCGCGTGCAAAGTGCATCTAAGGGAATGATTGCTTCTTTTTTTAATAAAACTGGTTACACGGACACGTGGTTACGTGGTGGACACGTGGTTACTGTCGCTTTGGAGAATCGTTGTACCGTGAATAGTGTTTGATACACGACCATTTATTTGCTGGAAGTTAATGACAAACTCCGTAAAAATAACTGTAAACGCCGTATTATCTTGCACCACGATAATGCCCGCTCTCACACGGTCAGACAGACAAATGAATTTTTGAAGGTGAACAACGTTGACCTTATGAGCCATCCCACCTACAGTTCCGACCTAATACCTTGTGACATTCATTTATTTCCAAAAATTAAGAACCAGTTAGGCGGTCGACGATTTTCATCACCTGAAGAGGCTGTCGAAGAGTATGAAAAATATGTTTCAGGGAGGAGTGGCATAAATGTTTTCAAAATTGGTTCATTCGTTTGAAAAAGTGCATTAACGCTAACGGAGAATATTTTGAGATACAATAAATTAATTTCTGACCATTTATAGTATTTTTTTCTTATTCATTCCGTAAACTTATAGTGCGCCACACGTATTTAGTTTAACACTAAATTGGTAGTTAGAGAAAAGTACTACCTACTCGGACATTTTTGAGGCTAAATTGAATTCAGAATCCGTGTCAAACCAGGCCATGTCTTGTCGCATCACCGACTGGAGGAACTTTGTTCGAATTCTCGTCATCTGAAGAAGAAAATAAATATCATCTTCTGTTGTACGAATAATATCCACAGACTTTTTCGATTGTAATTGCGAAAAGTACACAACAGTAAATAAATCTACACACAACACGTATCTTTAAATATGACTGGCTAAATGTCTTTGACAACTTAGCGGTTTTATTTTATTGTTGTATTAGGACATACTCGCACATTTGTGTTACCAAATTTTTACAGAATTTTATACTTATTTTCCTTAACATTTATATGCTAAGTTAGTAAAATTATAAAAAGAATCTATTGTTAAAATATATGATTCTAAAAAAGCATTGTAAAAAGTTTTAGTAAAGTGCGTAGTTGTGTAAATTTTGTCAAAATAATTTTAGAAAATACGTCTTTTTTGTGATTTTATATGAAAACAAATGATTTTGTGTCTTAAAATAGACAGCCCTTATCGGTCTATATTATGCAAGTTATTATTTTTAATATTTAGTTTCACCTTTTGCTCTCCTCGAAGATATCTTAAATAATCTGGTATACCATCGTGATATCGTAGCTCCTGCCAGAGAGGTTCTGGTTGAAAATAGCTGAGCATACACAGAGTTCCCAAAAAGAGTAACCAAATCTGTATTATGTTTGTTTTGGTTATTATCTATATGTAAGATTTTTATCCGTATGTTTTGTGTTTTCTGAGTGGCAAATAAATGGAATATCGAGTACCCTACAGTACTGTTATGGGTTTCAGATGTATTGATCGATCAATACGCAAGTAATTGAACACAAAACGAGAAGGCCGTCAATTAATACAATGGTTTCAATTTACGATACGAATGCTGATATGCATGCTTGGGTATACTTCTAAGATTACAAATATAAAACAAAATGCGTTATTCATTAATTAGTAACGCCAATTGTAGAACCTGAAGGATGATTATACTGTGCTGTACTTATACTGTGCTATATTATATGTGGCTTTTTTATGATACGTAATCACGGGACGAACAACTCGTGTGCGTCGTTGTAAGCGACACGCCTGTCCATGATAGTTGCAGTGCCACTCAGAGCTTTAAATCGCAAAGGTGCACTGCCACTGCGCCCTGTTACTCTGCGACAAAGGTTGACAAGTCCCATGCGCTTGTAATTTCACTCTACAAAACCGGAGCGTGGTGTTACTGCTTACCGGCAGAAATAGGTATGGTAAGATGGCAGTACTTCTCTGGACAAACTCTTTCACAAGGAGCTCTACTGCTAACAGCTTGCTTTAGTGTGCCGACCTTCAAGAAGAGCTTCACCATTTACTTATATGTGAATATGTCGCTGATGTAGAAGTCTTCCAACTCGACAAGTATCTTTGACTTAGAAGAGGCATTTGGGGCATCAGAGGTTGTCAGTTTGAACAAATGATTTTCGAGGGTCTTCACGTATCACTTGGAATCCCGGACTTGTTCTATTGCCTCTTCAACGAGGCGTGTATTGAAAGGAACCGCTTTTCGCATTGTCTCTCGACTGTTCGTTGTGCATGCGTGATGGATTGTTGTGAAATAATTTTCTTACGGTAAGTTAGAGTTGCACAATGTGTTTTACTTTGAAGTGGAACATTACAAAACCATATCTTTAAAACAATTGTTATTTTAATGTTATTACTTATTCTTGCTTATTATTGAAATCATGTTAGTTGAATGTAATCTTGATTTTTATTATTATAATAAAGACTACACCTGCTAAGCTACTACACCTGTAAAACATATTTATTTTCAAATTAATTTTAACGTTTAATTAGGTAATAGCTCTTAAGTATGGCCAAAACTTTCCTCGAATTCTGCAAAACGAAAATTATTTTGGTTGTATGCTCAAAATGTTCAGTGGACAAAGTTCCAAAATATTTATTTTACACAATTATTTTGTTTGGTGTTAGTTAGTCGTTTGTCGTTGTGGAAAATATATTAACCGCGAAGGATGTTGAAAAGGGATCGACGCGCGACGTGTTAATAAATTTGTTCAATGCACTTAATCTTTCCAAATTAAATTACGCTGACTGATTTACAGGCGATTGTCTCAGCCAGCGGGCTGAGATAATCTAAGGAGCGCCTTAAACGAGAAAAGTCGTACAACGTGTCCAAAATATCTACACAGGTTTTTGTTTCTCTGTTCCCAGTCGATTTTATATTGTCCCGTTAATAGACTATGGATACGCGACATGAGTTGCCCTTGGAACTCTAAATCTCGAGCTTTCGTATTCCCCATCGTTCGTGCGCCTTGCAATTCCTAATGTGGTGTCCACAGGCCTACCTCACGTGATAGCTTCCGTTTCGCTGCTATAAAATATTGAAATGACGAAATGGTGGTTACCATTACAAAATTGCAAATCTGTTGGTTTCTTGAGATCATCTTTTAAGAGAATTTTTCTGTTTACCCGGGCATCTAACAGCACTGGCAGTCGTGCTGAGCTTACTGAGTAATCGGAGCCACTTTATCACAGATACAAATACATGTCAATAGATTCTCAAACGCCTAATCATTTTTTATTTTATTCAGCTCCGTCTCTAGAGTCTATTACTTGAATGAAGAGTTATAATTTTTTTCATTTATCCAGGTTCGACAAAGCTGAGTTTAGATCACATAGGTAATATTTGAAATGTACCTAAAAGTATTTATTTTATTGTTTATCCTGAGTGTTTTTATTTTATTTTTATTATTATTTATAAGCCGAGTGCTATGTTACCAAATAAACTATTTATGTTTCTTTCTTTATATTCGTTACACTCTATGTATTCTATTATAAATAGTTTCTGAATCGTTGACAGGGTTTGATAGCAGTCTAATGTGATATTTGTGCACTGCAGCCAAAAATGACTCTACTCCGTATTTATGTATACTGTCTTACCTGTTTCAAAGCGCTCCAGTTGACGAGGGCGACAGACAGCATACAGAAGACCATCGAGATGACTACGCTGACGACGGTACCCACTGCCAATGCCCGGCCGTCCTCGATCAGCGCGGCCATATTCTCCTCTAAGGACGCATTCTGCCTATGTGGTCAAATACGCTATCACTACACGACATAGTACGTACATAACTATAATACCATCGACACCACAACTATTCTTATTTTTTACTAGTCAGGGTCGTGAGTGTTGTAGTAATTTTTTCCAATTTTTTTTTAAATCATCTTTTGTAATACGATGCATTCGGCTCTTTAACCATTTATTCAATTGTATATTTTTACGATGGGTTTCAATAGAGCCATCATATATCTTCCAGCGAATGTGTTAAGAATAGGAGATAGGCAACCAGCATCTTTTGTAATTTTGTTGGTTTAGTAAGGTTTGTATGACGCAGCGTAATCTGTGAGTCCAACGAATGGCAAAAAAACTTACAGTCTCCTTCCTCCACCGAAGAGTTCAAGTAGTGGCAGGTAACTGGACATCTCTTCAGGGTAGGAGGTACGTTCTACGAAGATGGTGCTGAGTTCGCCGTAGTTAGCCATATTGTAACAGATGCCACCGGCGCTCAGTAGGCCAAATATGACGCCCAGCACCGTCGCGCATATCTCCAGGCATGTTGCGTACCGAAACTTGATACGTTAAATATTATAATTTTTACATTTTGACTTGTAACCGCAAAGAATTCATGCAATAAGTATAGGACGTACTGCCCTCCTTATCATAATTAACATAATCTACACTTTTAGCGAAATTGAGTTATTAAATCTGGGATCACGGAAACGAGCTCTACAACCCTCTCTAATCGTTTTTTTAATATCTTATTAAGTTCCAGTTATATTGTTAAGCAACATCAGGGTAATTAACATTGTTTTAGGTTACAATAAAACTTTTTTAATTCACGACAAGGAGCGGCAGGTCCCCCGGGACGTAGCTGTTGAACGCACTTATAATATGGGTTCATAAAAATTTGAAAGAAGAAGACTTTGGCATATCTTTCGTCCTGCCCTGCGTGTCTCTACACCTGCACACGCGAGGGCCTATACAACGCAACTGATAATGCTGTCTCAATCGCTAAGTACTAATCCTCACAAATATAAACGTCAGAGTCGACACGCCAAGAAGAAGAATATGAAAATTTTGTAAAATTAACTTACATTTAGTTGAGACAAATCATTAGCGAGTATTACTATAAATCTGTACGGTGAACTTAAAAATAAGGCTGTGAATGCTACTCATAGTTCTTAATTAAAACACAGAAAATTATGACAGGAAACAGTATAAAAGAATGTTTTTTAAAAATTAAATAAAGGTTATATTGTAACAGAAATGAAAGTAGAAGGTGGCGTAATTAACTTAAGTTATATATTTGATCTTATTACAATAAATTAGCTAAATTCATTTTATATCCACAAATAAGAAATTTAACTTTATATACAAGTTGTTGATTTGGATAGCTATAGAATTGGTTTTAATGGTTTAAAACCAATTAGTTTTAATCTAGCTCTGGATTCTGAACTGAATTTAAAATTATTGCTTGTCTTCACCTAACTCGTAGTATTGTCATGCACATTGATATAGAAGAGATTTTAGAATTTCTGATAGTACTTACAATTTGGACATAACCCAAAACGGGCTCCTCAGGTTTTCTAAAAAAAAATAAAGTGCATTAAATTGTAGGTATATTTCCCTTGCACTAGAAATAATTTTGCAAACAATAACAAATGCCAGTAAATACAATCACTTTCTTGCAAACAAAAGTACCATATCAACATATTGCAATTAAATTCGCTTTGCTAAAAACAATATAATACTCACTTTTCTTTTTTCTTGATTTTCATAATTTTAGATTAAGATAAAGTGTTTTACTAGCGTACTAATGTACGTCTACCTTGGAGGCTTGGAGTGAATGAGCCAAGCCGCGATCTCCTCCCGGATAAATATAGATACTTCAGCGCTCACGTGAGAGTCATGATAGGTGAGTGCGCTATACATGCGGCGACGATATCTTACGCAGAGGTGTTCAAGCGTAAAATTATTACAAGCGCAACTGTAACAGCTGTTAAAAGTGTATTAAACAAGGGTGTAATGTGTTTTAATTTCAGAATTTTGGCAGGAAATTGCAGTGTGTGTGTGTGTGTGTGTGTGTATATAATAAGTCGTTGTTTTTGTTTAATACATACATCTTAAAATAATTTGTGAGAGTAATTTAAACAACGCGAAAGTAGTTTCAAAATTTGCAAACTCTTATCAGAGTCCTCTTGTCAAAGTTAGTAAGAAAAAGAAAAACTATTTGAAAGCCTCACTTCGTGGAGATCCATCAGTGGGGCATGCATAGCGACACCATAATATCTGCCAGAATAGAGGGATATCCGCTCCAAATGTTTATAGCTACTGGACGCAAATGTGTGGAATATAGGGCTTAAACAACAATTTTAGTAGCTCTCTCAAATAAAGGTAGAATCTCTCCTTAAAAAACACACGCATTGAGCTGGTGTTCCCTGTGTAATGTTGTATAAAAACCGCTTATATAGCGGCCTTAGGTTGGACGGCAGTGCTACGATTTCAAGTTTTATAGAAGTAGTATAATATTTGACAAACAGAATTTAAATGACACACTTATTAACGCTTGTAAGTACTACTAAAGTACTAAATTATTGTGTTTCCTACTTTCAAATAGAATATGGCAGTGTACTCGTTACATTGTAGCTTCACTGCGATTGATAATCTGCCGGTTCAGTATGGGGATTTGTTATCTTTCGGGTAGACTATAGCCTGTAACAAATCACAAACTATTAGAGTCTAATACTTAATCAGCGTATATTTTATATAGATTTATAGTATATGGCGTATGTTTTACAATTGGCACAATTAATCAGACCTTGAAAACGGTTGCTGCCAATAAGTAGTATGTGACGAAGTTTAGTTGTCAAGTATACTTGCACCCAAATACTATCGCAACTGAAATTTGCGAAATTGATAAAACACAATTTTAAAATACAAAAAATACTGAATTTATCTTATTGCAAATAATGTGATTATTTTTATTTATATATATGACTTAATTCCTTTTGCTTTCGCACGTAGTCTGTCCACAACTGTTAGCCAAATTTAACTTCAAAATTCCCTCAAGATACCCTAGGTCTGCTATTGCTCCTTTAGTGCCACCATTCCGTAAGACTTTAGGGCTTTAATTCCGGCCCCCTTCTATTTTTGCCCCCATCTGGGTTGATGCTGTCCAAGACCCCTTGTCCAAGTTCACTTGTATTTATTGTTTTTGTTAGTATTACTTTCCTTTATTTTTTAATTTAAGTTGCTGTTTTTAAAATCTATATAATTCACATTTTACGTTATTTTTGCAAGCTGTGTTCACTCATGAGTAGTTGTGCAATTTAGATAAGATCTTCAACAAATTGAATTTATAGTTGTTATATTGTAGTAACTGTAAGTGAACCAATAAACTAAAAAAAATATCCATTTATAAACGAGAATATATGTAATAGTTTCATTCAGTACTTTATTTTTCATTTTTTTATTTTCTCACATCACATTATGTCCTCTTAATTCTACAATTTTCTGTGTGTTATATATGTTGAAATATAACCGCAAGGGAGACGTCGAGGGAAACCACCACGTCATTGATTTTGTCAGGAATTATTTTAATAATTGGTCTACTCACTTTTCGTTATCAGTTCGGTCAGCCGGTGGTCAAATAATGTCAGTTGATTGCAACTAAGTGTAATATAATAACTAAATAAACGTTTAAACACTTTTCACAGTAATTAGTTCGAAAGTACATACAAAACATTGATCATTTTAATACCTTGAATTATACAAATTAAAAAATGCAGTGGTAAACTTTTTAGCAACGCGTGGCCATACAAGCCAGGTTATTGTCACACAGTTTATTACCACATACGTTAGCAGTACAAACATAGATATAGGAAATATCTATGAGTACAACACAGTAGTCAAGTTGCAGTAAATTTTTAACTCTCACACGAGACTGGCGTGTAGTTCCAAGGTCGTGGAACATTGCGAACGTGCAGCCTGTGCTTAAAAAAGGAAGCAGAGCTGACCTTGTCAACCATATACCTATCCAGTCATTCTGCGAGACTATGGACCGTGTCTTAACAACTGTCTCCTGTCCTACCTTAGACACAATGATCTCCTCAGTGATCTTCTTGTGTACGCCTCTCACTTATGGACCGTGATTATAGAAGGGCATGGCGAAGCCCTTGTAGTGTCTTTGGACATTTCTAAAGCCTTTGACTGATGAACAGGGTTCGGAATAGGTAATTTTTTTACCTAAACTTCAAGGACATAGACAGTAAATGGAGACTACCTTACCATAATATTTTTTAGGTCCTGGACCTTTTCGGGATTCGGGAAATCACTTAAGAACATTAAATATTGACGTAATTGAGGACAGGCAGGTACACTATATTTATCTTAACTTTGCGACGCACAGTGAGTCGGATCTGCGATACTGCGAACATTGGATTTTTTTTCACAATACCTCTCTAAAAAAATGCCAATCGAGCAATCCTATTGTCCTAATAAAATATTGTCATATCACATTTTGCCATTAATCTAATAGTTTAGGGTGAAAAAAATAATTTGATGATTGATTGATGAAAAAGCATTTTTATATGCGACCATACTTTTAGTGCCCCATCGTTACAAAATCTTAGTCGATCCTGTCTTGGAATCACTACAGACCTATTATTAGACCTATTTTCTATAGATTTGCATACTAAACGCGCACCCAAACCTGCCTTTTCACTACTTATATGCGTCAATAAATGTGCAATATATGAAAATGTGTAACGCGTAACATTCCATTCGCAGAATTAAACTACAAATAATACTTTCTCCGTGTTGACGGAAATTTTATAATAACATGTTCTAATTAGTTAGTACACAGGATAACAAAAATTGTTTCAATGTTCTTGCTTGTTCCAGCTCATTAATTCGATGTAGTTCGTAATTGCAATTTATGCTTAAAAATTTGAATCAAAATTCAACTTCACATAGGTATACGATTTTATAGACAACAAAAAATTAAAAAACAAAAATTATGACATAAAGAATCCATTGTTCACAAAAAAAATGATATTTTAATTTGTTATTGATAATAATTTTTGTTATTGAAAGAAAAAAAATTGTATCATCAAAACATGTGTTTATTTCCAGATTTTTTGTGTTTCTTGTGCCATTTTTGTACAATAACTTAAACGCCAAATTAGCCATATATCATTTTTGTTACATAAAGGTTAAGAAAATTCTCCGAGAATTCTTTCAAAATATGTCTATGATCATACAGAGAATTTATTAATTATCCCAAAATAAATGTTGTCTAATAGGTATATGATTCGCGTATTGGTATATGATATGCATTTTATTGTTTAATTATTTGTTTTGTTTATAATTTAATCATATATCCACCTTTACAATTAGTATTTTTTACCTGAAATACAGGATTCTCCTAGTTCAGGTATATGTGTTATATTTTACATTTATTTGCATAATTAGTCTTTAGTTATTCATTTGTACAATAAGTAATTCAATAAACAATTTTATTTATTATTATTATTAATGTAATCCGCTAATATATATCTCAATCAGAGTAAGTTTTGAGAAAATCGAGTTTTTGTAAATTGCATTTTATGTAATTGTATTGCATTTAAAATACTTCTCAGTGCGTTTTAAATGTTTTAAGTTAGATAGCGCTATTTCTATTATACCATTAGATGCGAAACTATTATAGCTATTGAATGGTATAAAAAAAACTAAAAAGGTGTATCTCAGAGATAGCGCCTTTCGGCTTAGCAGGGCAGAATCGTGGTTGTAATAAATGTGTTGGTACCGAGTGGTGCTACTGTATTGCTTGTCTTGATTATTTACCTCACCTATCCTCACTTCATCCATCATCCTGCTTGGTATACCTACTACCGTCGAGCAAACAGTGCTTATGATCAAAGAACTTTCACTCATTTTACCCAGACAAAGCTGATAAAAAATCGGCCTAATTAAGGTACTTAAATTAATTTTGTAAGTAAAATATCACTCAAATACAAAACTATTCAATATAGGTTGTATTAAAACCATTTTTAGGTCGTTACAGTATGAATTTTGGTAGGATTCGTCAATTTTCTTCCTCGCGACCTGCAGTTGTTTTATTTTTGTTATAAAATCATCCTGTCTTGGACATTAAAACTTTATTCCGACCTTCATCATGTTGCAAAATTTTAAAATAATTAATTTGTACATATGATATATGGAAGTTGATTTTAACAGTCAATACTTTAGAGTCATCATGTCAGGGATATAAATAATTTAAGTCTGAGGTTACAATAAATAGTCCGTGATGACTTAGTCAAACAACCTAAACAAATACGACAATGAGTACCTACAGCATAACATCACACTGAAAATCGGAAAATCATTTTATGGTTACATCGACCATGAGGATTTTCGTAGAAGAATTCTGTGACGAAATTACGTTTGTTAAGAGATAATCTTATATGCGTAGTTAATATTACTGGATTCATCATGACTTGTTTATTAGTCTTAATTAAAATTACCACATATTTTGATAAGTTTATTGCCCAGTTTCTTATTTATTAAAACACTCGTCCAAATTACAAAAGCCTTTGTCAATTTCTTACATAGTTTTGAAAGTATATATATCTTTAAAAAATACTTCCTTCTAGGCAATCATAAGTTTATGTGAAAACAATATACAATGTGAATATTTGACATAACATTTTTCAAGAGCTTTATCATTTTTTTGCGCAAATGAAAGCAGTTCATAACATTCGTCTATTCCCATTGTAGGTAGTCTCTGGGTGAGGTCTATCGGTGAAGCGTCTGGAATTTAAGGCCAGTTGCATTTGGAACAGGTCTGGTCAGGTTCCGATAGATGAAAGATTCCGTAACTGAAGGAATGCCGTGCAGAGATGGCGTCTTGACCAGAGTAGAGTTAAGCGTGCAAAATGATTCTGCCCCCGTTGGGCTACTTGCGGGTAGTGACTGGTGCGATGTCTCGGGTGATGCTGTCGAACTCGTAGGTAATGATTCAAATGGCAACCGAGGATGGATATGGTCCGCATGTCGGTATATGTTATTTCCTCTTGGTCGGAATGATATATTTTGTTTTCTCCAATCGTGTTGCGATATGAGATGGCATCGCCGGACATGTACTCTGCTTTATTAAGCGCGGGCACATAAACGTTGACCTGTATTTGTTGGTATTGCCAAGTCCTGAAAAAATAAACATTATTTCAGTTGGTGATTTACCAATAGAGTTGTGTTGTGTTATTCTCTAGGTAAAAAGGAATTCTCGCATACGCTGTAGTTGACAACCTGTTGAAGTCAAACATTTTGTCTTGAAGGATCTCACTAGGCTCTACGCTAACCCATTCGTCTATGGGTGGTAAGGCGAAGAACGTAAAAAATACCGTGACTCTTACAAAAATCCTTAAATTCTGATAAAGTGAATTATGAACTGTTGTCAGATACGATTATCCGAGGAATACCAAATGTACAAAATATCTCATCCAAAATAGAGTACAGATTGCCTGTTGTTATGTTTTTCATAGGTCTGACTTCAACCCACTTAGCTAAAGCGTTACTTAAAACCAACCAAGATCTGAGTTGTGCGGTCTTTTCTGTTGACATAAATACATCTTTTAACATGATTGTCCACGTCTTTATCGATGGACGGCCACCAAATATAAAAACTAGCAAGGGCCTTCATTGCCGATATGACTGTATGACCTCTATGAAGATAAGTCAAGACTTTTCGATGTCCTTGGAATTGCCATCCGCATCCTTCCTTGCCACATGATTATTTTGTTTTCTATCGAGAGTTCGTTGCGCTTTCTAAAGAAATATTTGATTTCGTTGGTATATTCCAACTATTCTGATAATGTCAAATCTTGAGTTGTTTGCTCCCTCAGAAGATCTTCAGAGAAATGGAAATAATCCATACTAGTCCATAGAAGGCGTGATTATATTCTGTATACTATTAGGGGTTAAAGTATGAAATTGCCGTTTTATTGCAATAGGTTCTTTGAATTTTCATAGAATCTTCATGGTTTGAGGTTTTCGAATGAAACTTTTTTCAAATGGTTTCTGTGAATTTTTTTTTTTTAAATTTGAAACATTTGAATATCGACTTTCAATTGTTT